TTCAGGAAGGTGGGCAAAGAGCCAGGAGTTCTTGATATAAAGGCAGGAGTGGCAAGGGGCTGGAAGGTGAGTTAGAACGAGTTTTGATATTCAACAACTGTGGTCATAAGAATAGAGGCTAACTCTGTATGAGCTTTCATTCCTTCCTGCTGGGTCCTTGAAGCAGATTGCTCTCTCTCAGGTTGTCTCATCTCAGGGCTTTTGACTTTTATAGATGTACCCCTGAGTTTCATCTGTGGGCTAAGGTCACTTCCTGGGCATTCCGTCTGTGAACAGCACAACCAGAAGATTGCAGGGCGGATAATGGCTTTGAGTCCATGGCCACTTCCCATGTGAACAGCCTTTCCCTTTGCTCCCTTGGGCTTAGGATGGCAGCCCCTTCCCCTCATCTCCATGCCTCCTGGCTCATGTTACAACCTACCTTATATTTTTTATAGGGTTCTATATGTGATTGACTCACCCACAAACTAGCTCCTCAAGGGACGTGACTCTTATTTCTCTCTGAATCCTTAGAATCTGGTATTTGGACATAATAGTGCACAATAGTGTTTGTTGAATGAATTAAATGACATTTATTCAGTTAAATGAGCATCAAAAATTTTTTCCAACCAATTCCATTTATTAAGTCCTTGCTCTATGCCCTGCATCCTGTTACATGCTGGCAAAACAAACAAAACCAAATTAGATCAGACATTGCTCTCCCCCATGGGGGCTGCAGTCTGGTGGGGGCCAGCCAAGAGGTGGGCATAGTTCTTTCAGCCCAGAATCATCAAATCTGACTATATCCTCTACAGCAAAAATGACACAGGATAATGCTTTCATTTAGAAGGAGAAGAGCCTTTCACTGAAAAACCTTCATGACACTAATAAGTGCCACCATCCCTTTCTTTTGAAATTGTTTCCATTTCCACTGTGATAGTCATATAATGAGGTGATCAAACTGAGCTCTTTCTTGCAAGGTGAGGCCAAACCATCACTTTACCCCGTGCCCACGGAGTGAGCCGTGTTCTCCCTCCTCAATGAACCTTCATCTCCCTATTCACTGTTTGCACTGCAGCTAAACATTGTGCAAGCATCTTCATTAAACTGTCCGCAGTGATTCATAGTTGCCTTCCCCCAGAGGTTACACATAATTCAAAACCCATTGGCACATGGGGGACAGGCGGCTTAAATTGCTCCTTCCAGGATATGTTACCTTGCATTGGTCCACTCAGAATTTCATTCGCTACAGTGAGGTCCAATTACTCTGCCCAGCTGTGCCCTTCTAAGGTTCCTTGGCCCCTCCCTCTCCTGAATCTCTAAGAAGCAGCCTCTTCCCTCTGTGGGCATCCACAGTGTGTCCACTCTGCAAAATTGCCGCTCCCTGTGAGGTGAGGCACTCTCAGAGGGGAAATCCACCATGGAGGGACCTGAGGTGCCAAACCAGGAAGCAGGGACATAAGCAGTCAGCCCTCCATGGTCTTTGGTGCTAAAGGGAGAAGAGTCAGAGCATGGGCTGAAATCCATGCTTTGCACCCCCGCCCCCCACGGCCTTGGGGAGGGCCACGCATAGTATGCCCTTGAAAGCATTCTTGCGCTGGCTCTCTGAACTCTTTGTACTGGCTTACTTCTGCTTGGGCCACGCTGGACCTGGCCGAAGAGGATGCTTTCAGTCACGGTCATGGAGACCCAGCTGGACAAATTAATTCACCACAAACTGTGTACCATCAGGATACCTCAGTGTTAAAGAGATGGTAGAGGTACAAGACAGAGAAAGCAAGAAGTCATTCTCATGGTTGCCTTTAGAAAGAGAGGAGGAAGAGAGGAGGGGGCAGGGCGGGGAAGGCAAGAGCCATGCACAAACCAGGAGGGAGTTGGGGCGAGTTTGTCCAACTGGAGCCTGTGGAAGGAATTGAGTCTGGAGGCTTGGGGGAGGCCACTTGCTCCTGAGACCCCTGCTAGGAAATTCGTTAGGCCATGTGTTGTCAGCCATGCCGTGCTGGCTTCTCAATGGTCAGCTGATGCCCACCAAGTCCTCCCTGCCCTCACCTCAGCCTCTAGCCTTCTGCCCTGCCCCCTGCTTGCTCACCAAGCTATAGCTCAGGCCCCTCCTGCTTCTCATGCCTGGCTATTACTAATCTCATTAGCAGGCACCGAGGAGCATCCCCTCTGGGCCTAGCACTATGGTAAGTCCTTTACCTGTATTACCTCATTTAAATGTCACAGCTACCCCATCAGGAAATGGTTACCCTCATTCTACTGATGAAGAAACCAAAGCTCAGAGAGGTGAAGTCGTTTTCTCGAGGTCACACAGCAAGTAACCTTCAAAGCTAGAGCTTGTGTGGTGGTGTGGCCGTGGTGACCATGTACTGATTGATGTATCCAGGGAAAGCCCCCACTGGCTTTCTCAATCAGGGAGGGCCCTAGAGATTCTTTTGGTTTTACGGAACTTCTATAGTTTGTAGGGTCCACTAGTGTTTGCACTGGGGTGTGTGTGTGGGAGGGGAGACATAAACTTCTGCTTTTGTTTTAAAAATACCCCAAAGGTACAGAAATGGCATAGTCATCTTAGGACGTGGGACACCCCTCTTTTTTTCTGACTGCTTCAATGTGGTTAGGTTGATGGCAACATATTGCCTCCAAGAAATTCCAGCTGCGTGACTAATAATGAAGGCAATAATGACAGCTAACATTCATTAGGCACCTGTTATGCTCTGCTCTGGGCTGAGTGAAATAGGAAATTCTGTCATCTCTACTTTAAGAGAAGGAAAGAGGAACAGAGAGGTGATGCCTTGTCTAAGGTCACACAGCTGGTCAGTGGCAGAGCCAGGCTTTGGACTCAGACCTGACTGAGCCCTTTAATCTTTGTGTTCCATGGTCAGACGTGTCCCAAATTGAGTTCACGTCAGCCAGTTAGTGAGATGACAGTCACCATATGTTGTAAGCCCACTATGAGCCAAACAAGGGGAGGGAATAAGAGCCCAGGGCAATGGTCTGTTGGTGGAGCATGGGTGAGGCCCCCAGACCAGGGAACAGAGTCCCAGGGTGATGGGACATTTGTGGAAGGTAATGAGGGAGCAGCAGTTCACAGGGACAGGGAAAGGAATTCAGAGTAGGAAGCCGAAAGATGAGAGCGTTACCAAGAGCAAGATCGATCAGCTTCACAATTTGCTATCAATTTTGTTTAGGGCTTCATGGGGTTATTTGTTAGGGTGCCCATGGGGATTCATGGTGGAAGCATTTAGATCAAGGAATAGGGAGGCATAATTTCAAACTGCAGTTGGCTACCAAGGCATTAAGGATGTGTGTGCGTGTGCGCGCGCACGCGCGTGTGTGTGTGTGTAAGGAAAGGTGCACAGAACAGAATACCAAATAATTCTCATTTTGCTATTTTCTACTGTCACAACAGGCTTTTGGGGCAGCTATTTTGGTCTGTTTTTGTTATTCCATATACATGCTGGGCTGCTGTACTGTAATTCCAAGGGCTGAAATGATGCTTTAAATTGCTGTTCAATTTACAGAGGTGAGGTTTTGTCTTGCCTGTACTCTCTTGCTTACCATTGCTCAGCTCATTCCCTCCAAATGAACTGCACTATTTTTTATTCATAGTACCACTCTGCTGCTAGTTCCCCGATTTCCTTCTTTCCACATCCTCCAATGAGTGTGTTTACCAGTCCTGGCAAGTTAATACTGCTCCTACCACTGTGATCCATTCCTGTAACACGGGAGAGTTAAGGCACTTCTAACTTTTAATTTCTCTTCAAATGAGCTCGTAACTTCTTCCCATCCCCATTTGGATGCTTTTACAACTGACAGTCTTTTCACTTTATTACTTATAAAGAACAACCTTACGTGACACACTTTTGGCTTGGATATTCCAACTAGTTCAGAGCCTGGCAATTTCCCTCACACAGACCTTCATAAATATCCCTTACGTTTGGGTTTTCTCCCCTCTTTTTAGAATATTGTTTTGGACTGAGTGGGTCCCATGGACATAGGAAATTTCTTTGGGATCTTAAACCCCCTGTAGCCAGCTTGTGGTGTAGCTGCTCAGGGCAATGAAAGAATGATGTGGTTGGTATTAGTGACAATTTCAACTTTACTCCCATTCCTATCTCTGTTTGAAAGATGAGGTCACAAACCACGGAGAACCACATCTTTACATTCAAAGAGCAATCCCAAGGGCACCTGGGTGGCTCACTCAGTTGAACATCTGACTCTGGATTTTGGCTCAGGTCATGATCTCAGGGTTGTGAGATCGAGCCCCAGGTGAGGCTCCACACTCAGCAGGGAGTCTGCTTCAGATTCTCTCTCTCTGCCCCTCCCCCAACTTGTGCACTCTCTTTCTCTCCCTCTTTCTCTAAAATAAATAAATAAATCTTTAAAAAAAGAGAACAATCTAATACTGCAAAGGCAAAAAAAAATTGTGGTTAATGGTCAGATGTACTTGTGTTTTATTCTCAGCTTATCAGATGTGTGACCTTGAGCAAATTACTTTAACCTCTCTGGGCCTCAGTTTCTTCCTCTGTAAATGGAGATACTAATAAGCACCCACATGATACAGCTGTTAAAAGAATAAAATACAAGCACGTACACAGAGACACTGGTACATAACATAGTAAGTGCTTAATAAATGTTGGCTATATTATTCCTGGAGTATTGACATAGAGAATACTCGGGTCCAATACCTCTGCCACTCACCATAATATTCTCATACTAAAGTAGAGAGGAACTAGAATGGGCTCTAGCCTAAAGGCATAGCTAAAACCATGACCCTTTTCAGTGGTTGCTGTTGTAATGCAATGATTGATCTTTATTACTAGAAACGGAAACTGCCTGTGCAGTAACAATTCTCATTCATTCGCTAAAAGCAATCTCTACCAATCAGACATTTCTGCCTATGGTATTGAACAGTCCTTAAAATAGAAGAGAAAGAAACATCAGACCCATTCTGTCTTGTGGTTAATGTGTATTGTCACTCTAATTTGATATCAGCAAGTGCCTTTGTAAATCAAACTCACCACACTGAATCCTTGGTGAGTTTGGAGTTCACGTTCCCATCTTCTTCCAGGAAGAAGTCCATTTGCAAATTGGCATTATTATCATGGGCTGAGAAGTAATTAGTAACGACTCTTGCTGGTATCCCAAGGCATCGCAAAACTGCAGGAAAGGACAGACCACAACAAAACCCATCACCAAAATTTAATAAATATATAGTGAACAATCCCTTATCATAAGGGACTTCCTTCTTTACCAAAAAGAAAAACCCTTTGCACGTGTTATCAGATGTTCCCTACTGAAGAAAGGGGACTATTGTCAAGCTTCAGGACTATGGAGTGAACCTTGCTGTGTGATCATTCAGAATAAATGGAATAAAAGTACTAAAATCCCAATAATGGGGTTCTAATTGTTTAGTTGCTAATCATAAAATCACTAAAGTAGTATTATTTTAGTCCATCTAATAGGACTATGTTCCTGAAAATAAAATTTTTTGAAAAACTCAGCTAGATTTTATTTATTTATTTGAGAGAGAGAGAGTGCACAAACCAGGGGAGGGGCAGAGAGAGAAGGGGAGGGACAAGCAGACTCCCCTGCTGAGTGGGGATCCTGATGCGGGGCTTGATCCCAGGACCCTGAGATCATGACCTGAGCCGAAGTCAGAGGCTTACCTGACTGAGCCACTCAGGTGCCCCAGAGAAAGATAAATACCATATGATTTCACTTGTATGTGGAATTTAAGAAACAAAACAGATGAACATAGGGGAACAGAAGGAAAAATAAAATAAGATGAAATCAGAGAGGGAGACAAACCAAAAAAGACACTGAACTCTAGGAAACAAACTGAGGGTTGCTGAAGGGGTGGTGGGTGGGGGGAAGGGATAACTAGGTGCTGGGCATTAAGGAGGGTGCTTGATGGAGTGAGCACTGGGTATTATATGCAACTGATGAATTACTAAATTCTACCTCTGAAACGAATAAAAAAAAAAATTAACTGGGACAACAACAACAAAAAACCCTCAGCTAATAGGAAGTTATAACAGAGGTCCTCAGTGGGGTTTGCTCTCCTGGCTGGAATTTGCTCTCATGACACTTGGTGGAGGGTGACACCACAGATTCATTTTAATTGCTAGATAATAAATTACCTGGATGCATCTTTTGCCATATGTACCTATTGATTAAACTCAATCCAAATGCCCTCCCTGGCTCCCAGGATGCCAGACATCAGGGCTCATTGAAAATAATTCAGCTGACAATTTTAAGATTAATGGCTTGGCTTGCCTTTTTTTTCTCAGAATAGTTTAGCATTTTTAACCAAAGGCTATCCACCTCCTTCAATAGAACAACCTTGGAAATCCAAACTTGAGTCTGGTAGCATTCAAATGTCCTCATTAACTGACTTAATCTTAATACCCCAAACAAAAATGAAGGCAGCCACCACCTGCTTCCTACTTCCATCTTCCTGTATTGATTCACAGTCCCTATTCAAGCCAAAATTTTACCAGTAAGATGATTGGCACTCTAGCTCTATTTCTGGCTTACCACTAACTCACAGAATGAGAATTGTTCCAGATTTTGCCTGACCTCATAATTTTAAGGCAGGTGAAGCCTGACACTGGGAGGCTTCCCATAGGAGACACCTATGCCTCCCTCCTTCCAACTTCCCTCTTGGGGTCTATTCTTACTGTGACTTCCTCACATGTGCTTCTGCCTTTTTCTTAGCTTACCACCAAAGCCTGTTTTCAGGGATAGATCTGATGACCCTTTCATACAAAAGGCATAAATGGATGGAAGGTGTTCACTATTTTACCTGGTTCCAAGCCTGAAGGAATTACACTGGGATAGTGAAATTCTAGACAGCAGGAAGACATAGGCAGAGGGTCCTTTCTGTTTTCCTGGAAGCATTTCCTAAGAGTAGCTGCTCCCATCAGGCACCCTCTACATAGTCTGGGCTTGGGAATAGTGAGGGAGGGGGGCTACCTCTAATTGTTAGCCCATCATGAAGTTCAGCTTCTATCTAGAACTTCAGAGACCAGCACACCCAGGAAACTGATACACTGGCCTTTATTGCTCTCAGAAAATATATTCCCTTAGCCCTTGGGTATGCTCTACTGGCTAAGAAAATAATCTTATTCAGTTTAATACCATAGAAAAACAAAAGCACAAGACGCATAATTTCTTCCCACTTGGATCACTGACTAATCTTGGACTGTTGCAACTTTGAGCTAAAACTGCGAGGCTTCATGATCATTTATAAAAAATGGCCTCATCCTGGCTTCCAGCCTCTAGCCCCTCCTTGATTTTTCTGATTAAAAGAAAAATGCTAACTAGGTAAAACATTCTTTATTAATGAGCAAGCAGACAGACACTCCAACTTGAGCTTAATGTTTTCTCCAAGGCTGTAGAAATGGCAAGTGAATGAAAATCGTTACTAATGATGAAGATATACTGAAATAAATGTATTTTTAAAAATAGTCACTGAATTAACAATAATATTGTCTGGGCCTAGACAGGCAAATGGCATTTCAAAAAATGATGCATGGAGCTGAAGAGAATAATTCTGTTCCCATATGTTTTCCTCTATAGATTAGATGTTGGGTAGATTAAAAACCAGAAGGGAAAGTGGGGAGTAAAGACTGTTTATTAAGTTCGGATATCTAATTGCTCAGGGGCATTGAGATTCCCATGTAAAAATGGAGATGAAACCACCTGTCACAATCCCTCCCACAACCAGGGTAAAAATTAAGTGCATATATTTATTAAACCTCTCAGTGGTAAATAATAAGCTAATAAACATATTTATAACACTTTTCAATAACAAATAAGCAGTATATATCTATTATTATTTATCATTTTAAATTTTATTAATTTAATCTTTTTAAAATGTGGGAGGTTACTGAAACTAAAATGGCATATCCTTTCCCTCACATCATTTCTTGGCCCCTGGGACCCCCATTTCTCTGGGTGTTGAATGATGGATTATGTAGGAAATAGTCCATCATTCTTTCTATAAAGATTCTGCAGTCAAAGAGAAACTATGAGCATATTTGGCCCAGTACAATTTAATTATGCATTGACTACATCCCAGAATAGCCATCTATAAATTCTAGAGAGCTAACAGGGTTGCTAGGTCTCTTTGCCAGTTTATAGATAAAGTGTCTTGAAGTAAAATTCCTTTTGCATTAAAAAAGGTGTTACTCAATTGGCTACTTACATGTGTTAAAGACACCAGCAAAAACCCAGCATTGACCATACTGGACTGGATTCTTAGTACTCTGGTATTCCAACAGAATGTCAACACTTCCAGTCCAGGCTGATGGGGGGACACCATAGGCATAGATATTGTCCCAGGATCCAACAAGGACACCTTCATCATCTTTGGCATTAACCTAAATGAGACCATGAGTGGTAAGAAGGAAGAAAGAACATTTAGAAGAGTTCTCTCCAGACTCTGACATCAAGTAAGTGAAGGCATCCAGTGCCTTCCAAATGTCCTGTATGATAAAAACAATTCTACTACTGTTTCATTCACTGTTGTGTTGTCAGGAAAAGTGATGCAATAATTAACTGTGCAAGATAACCAAATAACCAAGACTGCTTCTCAAATAACATATTACTGTAATTAAGATGGTGTTGAATAGCAACTACGAAGACTTGTAATGTCTTCTCTACATGCTTAGGAAAAGATATGCACAGGACACTTGGTCTGGTTGGAGTCATGAGGAAGAGAGGAAGAACACTTGCAAAAGAGGACAGCTCAAGTAGGGATCAAATAGGGATCTTGCCTTTGTGGAAGGAGAATTCAAAACTGACACATGACAGAAATGTATAGGTAGAGTGGGGGCCCAAAGTCTCATGGTCTAGTGAGTTTTGACTTTGGTGATGAATTGCAGGCTCTGACAAACTGAAAAAGTAAATAGATGTCATAGGAACCATTAAGAGTTAATAAGAAACTAGATTTCCATGGATACCTTACAATGTTTATTTTAAGCAAGTTGCATTAAAAAAGTATTTCTTTTATGATTGTTTTTTTATATATAAAATGCTTGGTATTTATTTTCCAAAATTCTCTTTAATTTCATTTTTCACCACATTTGTCCTTTATGATTGTTTAAGGTGATTAAGGTTTTGTAGTTTTGTTAAAAGACCTCCATTTGCAGGAAGGTCCTGGGTATTATAAGTATGGGGTAGATTTAAAAATGGCAATCTTGAAGATTTGGGAAAATCTCGCTACACATTCAGACCACAAAGTTCTGGTAGCAGCAGACCTCAAGTGCAGGAACGAAGACCTCTTGTGTTTAGAAATTAAAAAGACTAAGAAGTAACCATTTCAAGTCATCAGTTTTTTGCGGGGAGACACTATTGAATCTTACTTCTCTTGGTGTAACTTTCATCATGTTTAATTATACTTAGAAGACTACCTAGGTAAGGAGCAGTGGGAGCTTTTCCAAAAACTGATGCCACTTCAACTATGTTTATGCGTTGACATGGCAAGTGTTTAGAGCCTTGATCCTCAAAGTGTGGTCTGTGGACCAGCAGCTGTGGCATCCTCTGGGAGCTTGTTAGGAATGCAGAAGCCCAGTGCCTGCCACAGACCTACTGAATCAGAGTCTGCATTTTAACAAAATCCCGGGGTGATTTCTGTGAATGTTAATTTGAGAAGCATAGGTTTAGACTATGCCAAGAAGACATTAGCAAGCAATGTGAAACATATGATTGAAGCAGGTGTGTTTGGATCATGAAAACTATAGAAGATATATTAAAACATGGGGACTTTACATGTTCGCTGCCTTGCCAATTAACAGCTCAGTCTCAGCACTTGTCCAGACCCCTGTCTTAGGCTTACTGAGTTTAGTTGTAGAGGAGTCTAGTCTCCCCCACTGGGTCATGAATTCATTGAGACTAGAGATTTTAAAAAAATCTATGTCTTTTTTACTTCTAGCAAGTATGGGCAAAGAGCAGGTGCTCAATAATGTTGAATAATCACTTGTATATTCAACAAGCATATAGTTATTGTTTATATGAATAGGAATAAGACCTTCTCCCTGGGGAGAGATGAACAAGAAACCAATCAAGTGGAATTAAAGTTTACTAATGTTAAGACAGAAAGATGTACAGATAAGGTGGAGGCCCAAAGGAGGTGGTAATAAGTTTCCTCAGGTTGGAGGGTGGTGGTGGTAGTGGGCTGAATAGGGGAAATTATGTGAAAGCTAGGTCTTGAGTGGTTGAGGACCAGATAAGGTCATCTACATAATGGAAACAGTTTGAATAAATGCTTGGTGTCATGAAACAATATGGCAGGTTCAGGGACCTGCTAGGAGCTCTGCATGGGTATCATGTAAGTAGACCATATTGGGTAAAATAGAAAATACCAAAAGGAAACACTTAAAATGTGCTTCTACTGTGAATGACAAACCTTCCACTGAAATATGAGATTTACTCTAGCACTGAGTGGCATTTCCCAAAGAGGGTCCTTCTGGAAAGTGTTCTCTAGATCACCATTCAATTTGATTTAGACATACTATTTCTCCCCCTTGATCTGTTTGTTCAGGTTAAAGTAAAGGTAACTACTCAGTTGATTTGTTTAATGTAGAAAAAGTAATTCTCTGGAGATTTCTGAAGGACCTTGTTCAGCTAATTGCAAACTCATGCCTTTGATGTAAACTTCGACTTTATCCTATAACTATATGAAAATGACTAGAATGCAACAGGGTTTAGTCAACCATTTTGGCTCTATTTATGATTAATACTTCTCCTTGCAGTTGAACTGATTATTTAAAAATCTGTATCTGTTATAACAAAGCCTGAGGAGCACCCTGGTAGGCTATGATGTAGTTTGGTCTTTGTGGATAAGTAGATTCAGGTTTAACTTACATCACCATTTCCTTACCCTTATCATTGAGAAATAGAATAGAGCCTATGAATCTCAGAGGTAAAAGTTCCTAAACTATGGTTCTAATGACTGACTTTCAAACAGATAGCCATTAACTAGAGGACTATTTATAGCATCTGGCTGAACCCAATCAGCTAAGGAGAAGAGAGAGAGAGAAAAAAAAAAAGCTCTCTTCTCTACAGACTTTTAATTGTTAATGCTGAATTGTTTCCCTGTTGCTAGATAAATCACAACTCTCATTTATTAGCATTGGGTCAGATTAGCTACTGTTTTCTAATTAGAATATTGACTTCTGAGGGGCTCAGACACGGAAAGAGGTAAGTCTCTAGTGACACATGTAAAGGGTTAAAGTAATATCTCCCTCCCTAGACAACAAGATATGTTTGGGGACACTTTAAGGGCATGCTGGTTCTTTTTCATGCCACAATGGACTGTTTTAATACCCTGTCATGAACTCTGACCAGTGTCAGAATGAAATGTCTTGCTTCACTCACCAGTGAGTGTCTAGGAGACAATATGAGCCCAGGACTTTGGACAGGGAGTGTTATTCAACTACATTAAATTGTCTTCTCATAATACCTACAATATGGGAAAAGTGAAAAACCAGGCCCTTCCAAAGACATTATGAGCAATGTCAGTGGCATAACATAATTCAGTAAACTTCAAAATCTGGTTCCAAGAAAAAATGGGGGTTATAGATTGGAATAGAGAGGCAGCATGCCTCAGCTCCTGACCCTCACCACCAGTCTCAGAAGCCCTACTGGCAAGTCCACAAAATCATAAGACTTCTCATTTGTATTTCAAAATCTGGAAAGAAACTAGTGGAATTAAAATGCCAATCTTTTCCTTGTTCTGACTGGAACAGTGGGAACAACTGCTGTGGAGAAATGGGTGAGAATGGGTCTGCATCTCTAAAGAGGTAGACATTCTGGAACTAGAGTGGGGAAGTGACATAAAGCCTGAGAGTTACCCCACCCCCCCATGGAAAGGAGATAAACCTCTAATTAGGTGGGGTGGATTATCAGATAAGAAATATAGCAGAACCTTAAAAGAAAGAGCAGAGCCCATGTATTCTAACAGACATTGCCATCTCTCATTTCCCCCCACCCTCCAACATTTCTTAACATACTTGAGAGTAGATGGAATGAAAAACATTGGCCTCAAACTGTAGTTCAGAGGAAAAATCAAACTAATCTTAATTGGGATGTGTCAAGATTTCACCTACACTATATTAGAGCAAACAGGACATGTGGAGAAGAATTCTGCAAGTATGAACATGAATAAAAAGAAAAGAAGCAGTGAGGAGGGAGGGACAGAGAGAGAGAGAGAGGGAGAGAGGAAGAGAGAAAGGGGAAAGAGAGGGAGACAGAATATGAAAAAAATAATACTTAGAAGAAAATAAAATTAAGAAACATAAAGAATTTTCTCACAATCTTAGGAGATCACAGACTTAAAAGACTAAATTGAGGACCAAATCACATGATCATGGAACTAAAAATAAAGTATAAGCTATAAGAAACAGAGTAGATACTGGTAAAAAATAAAATTAATGACATGTACTAGGTGTTGGCTAACTGAATTTAAATAATGATAAAAAAATTAATGACATAGAAGAAAAGCTTGAGATAAAGGAAATACTATGAAAAATATAAAGAGATGAAATTATTTGGAGATGAGATAACAGTTAGGGAAAAAAGGATGATACAACATAAGGATAATTAATATCCTTAAAATAGAGAACCCAACAATGTGGTATCTCATGGTTCAATCGGTTAAATGTCTGACTCTTGATTTCAGCTCAGGTCATGATCTCAGGGTTGTGGGATTGCACCCTGAGTTGGATTCTGAGCTCAGCGTGGAGTCTGCTTGAGATTCTCTCTCTCCCTCTTCCTCTGCCACTCCCCCTGCTCATGCTCTAAATAAATAAATAAATAAATAAATAAATAAATAAATAAATAAATAAATAAATAAATAAAATCTTTAAAAAAATTGAGAACCTAACAAATGAGTCAGAAGATATATTTATAAGAAAATTTTACCTAACTGAGGAAAAATGGAATCTATACTTTGAAGGAATAATCTGTGTTCCGATGTGATTTGATGCAGAATTCTCATTGCTTAGGAACTTCAATTAATTAAGGTATTTGAACTTAAGAATAAAGAAATAATTGTTCAGTCATACAGGCAGAAAATGCAAATTAGCAACAAGGGAGGAAATAAGGCTGCCTTTAGACTGCTCCACAGCACCATCCAATGGCAAAACACAGTCAATCAATATTTGCACAGTCCTGAGAAAAAAAAAGGTTGACCCAAGAATCTTATATGCAGCTAAGAGGTTCTGCAAGTATAAAGGCGGCCAGCACTCATTTTCAAACATGAAGAATATCAGGGAATTTAGTACCCATTAAAACCAAACTACTTGAAAAGTGATATCAAGATAATTAAGGGCTGAATCAAACAAAGAATCCACAAACAAAGACATTGTGGTAAAAGATC